GGGGGGGGGGTGAGTAGGACTCATTCTTTTTATGTTAACAACGCTTCTTTTATTCAGCACTAAAAACTTCCTAACTGGACGAATTGATATGTAAACAAACTTTAGAAACCCAGTTTGAAATTGAATACTATTTTTTACTCGTCAAACTCAATCACATTTGACTAATAATAGTATGGTCTAAGGGTTGAATATTCTATCTGTGCATAGTCAGTGTTAAATATTCTGACAATTAGGTCATTTACATGGTACTTACAAGTAAATTTTGATGATAAACATTAATTGATGTTATGGTAAAAATGGTTAATAATTACGGCTACTATTATTTATTTTAGGTTAACAATCAATAGTTATTATTAGAATTACTTGTAATTATATTATCTTTTAATAGTATAAATACTATTTACGTTCTCAGTATATATAATTCAAACTTTCAATATTTCAGTTTTATCTTTAATGATTTGATGGTTAATTTCCTATAGCCACAAAAGTATTATGGCATATATTTAAAATCGCAAGTTTCAAAAATCAATAATTTTTTTTTAAACTCCATTCTCAATCAAACAATTTGACATAAAATGCAATGGAGAGGAAATAGTTCTAACTGTCTTCCTGGCATTTGATAATGTGAAGCAGATCAAGTTGGTAACACTTAGAGAATTACTGCCAGCTGAAAGCCATAAAGACTAAAGAGGCATACGTTGAGAAAATGATAAAATTAAGGTCAAAATTATTTTTTATGTACATATATGAACTCTTTAACTTTTTCGTGTCTTTACCTTTTTATATTTTAAATGGCTTTAGTGAAAATTCTTGATCGGTGCTGCTGTAGCCTGTGTATAGCTATTAGCTAGTAGTAGTAAGATGCTGCTGCCGTAGTCAATATCGCTCTGTTAATGGCTGTCCCATCACTACTACAACCCATTGAACTCTTATAATTTTCGCATAAAAATCTATCCACAATCCTTTTACTTTGTCCCACAACCAAATTTTTCCACAATTCCTCCACCATTACTTCCTCTTCATTTCCTCGTTTTGTATACACTTCTGTAGCATCCAGTCGATGTACATTCCATCCCTTAACGTTTATCAACCTCTTTATTTTCTCTAACTGTTGGCTTGCTAATTTACAGTTGTTGATTTTTACTTCATTAATGGCTTCCTCAAGTAGCTTAATTCTGGTCTCCTCGTCAATGGAATTTGATGATTCAGCCCGAAAATAACGATCGAATTCTGGGACACCAATTGCTTTTCGAATGCCTTTGGAGTAATCTTCATTTTTAGGATTGAATATGTTTCTTACCTCGTTGACCAGTCCTTTCTCGATCATTTTGTCCACTCGTTTGGTCAAAAAAGAATTTAGTACGTGCATGGACACGTCCACCCAGAGAAAACAAAAGTTGTACCTGTTGAAAACATAATTAAATTAATAAAAAATGTGTACACTTTATAAGCAAAGCAAAAAATAATAAAAGGGATTATTTGCACCATATAGCATTTTTGACGCCACTCTTTAAATTGGATCAAGTGCGGAGATAGTCATTCTCAAGGATGCTATTTAGGAATTAGCAAGTACTTATTTTATCCTGAAATTTTAAACTAAAAATCTTAATTTCAGGATATTTTTGTCCTAAAAAATTGAATTGAAATACTAAAATTTAGGATGCACTAATTAATTCCTAAACAGCAGCCCTTTAAAATGGCTACTTGGTATCATTTCTACCTTTAAATTTCCGTTAGTCTAGTGGGCTTGGCGTTTAAATAGCTGGATGAATTATTTTCAAACAAATGTAGCCCAGTAGACTAATGTGGGGCATAATTTAAAGTCTGGCCTCAAAAAAGGTTATTTGTACAAATGCTCTCTAAAAATTTACATTTTCTAAGGGTTTAATACAACCCTTAGAAACCTCCACTTCCAACCAAGAGGTTGTGAGTTCGAGTCACCCCAAGAGCAGGGTGGGGAGTTCTTGGAGGGAAGGATGCCGAGGGTCTATTTGGAAACAGCCTCTCTACCCCAGGGTAGGGGTAAGGTCTGCGTACACTACCCTCCCCAGACCCCATTAGTGGAATTATACTGGGTTGTTGTTGTTGTTGTTGTAAGGGTTTAATACATTTGACTGGTCGGACAAAATTAATTGTAATCACTGGCCAAAAAACATATAAAATATGTAAAAAATATACATTTTACCGGCTATTATTTTAGATGAGATAATCACACATTTCAATAGTACCTCGTATATAATTCGTAGGTTTTATCGTAGATGAGTGCCTCAATGAACGAATTCGATCCTCCGACGATGATCGGAAGCTTCCCACGGCAAGTAATGGAGTTAATAGCAAGTGAAGCCATGTCACAAAAGTTACTGGCTGTGAACTCCTTATGAGGATCAATAGCACCTAATAGATGATGACGTATACCACAACGTTCTTCTTCGGTAATTTTGTTTGTTGCAACATCAAGTCCTTTGTACACTTGTATTTTGTCGGAGTTGACAATTTCTCCCCCGAAATGAGTGGCTAAGTCGACGGAGAGTCTTGATTTTCCGGCGCCGGTGGCTCCCATCACCACCACAAGCTTGTCCATTTTCGGTGGTTGACGGTGAAATGGCATATTATCGAGGCTAACGTTGCTAATACGTAAGGATGGCCATGTTTGGTTGCACATTATTGTTGATATTCTCATACCAATCATACAACGTACGTAAATTTGTGAGAAAGTTCTTAAGAAATGCTAGTGTATTTGTTAATGATAAATCAAAGAATGATTGAGAAAATCAAGAAAGAAAGAAAAGCAAAGGAAATTCAGAATTATTCTAGTGTTTCTCCTCTTTTAGATGGTAGTTAGTATGTATATCTGCTGGGTATAGCATATGCATGGAACTACTTGTTTTATAGCCAAATGAGAGGTGAGTCGAGTATTTAAGATGGACTATCAATTTCGTCAAACTCAATAGTTTTTGTCCAAATTCTATAATTGTATTAAAAAAATTTAATAATTATATATCTTGAACTCATAAAATTCAAATCTGGTTCGCCCATTAGTATCCTAAACTGTTTTTATAAATTGGTCAAGCAGCCCGGTCCAATTATTAAAGGATAAAAGGAAGAAAAATAATGTTTTTTTTTTGGAT